CAACCTATTCCTGCGGCTCGCAGCCCCATCGTGCCCGGGAGAGGATTCTTACATCGCATTGGCTAAAACAAAATTCTTGGACTGTGATGGAGTCTTATACTTGTTAGGAAAAACGGGTGCTCATGGCAGGTCTGGTGCCAGTGGGTCCAAGTCGTGGAGCGCGCGGCCAATGAGAAGTCTTTGGAGCTAAAGGACGAGGAAACCTTGCAGAAAGTTGAGAAGTCCATCCTTGACGAACGCGTGGCAGGGTCCAAGCGGGCGCAGGCTGGCAGCGGGTGGGGCAGCCCCTTTTCAGAAGTAAATGTTCCGAGATACTACGCCCATGGTTTGTTTTTGGCGCGGCTGCTACCGTGCAGGTGCTGATCAAGTGGCTCTTCAGTGTAGAATTCATGATCATGTCCAAATGGATCAAAGCGTGGATGGCAGAGGCCAGCGGGTGCAACTGCTTCTAAAGGGTTTGCCACCTGTGAAAGGATGATGGCTCGGGTCTGGAGAAAACTTGTTTTTGCATGAGATTGAAATCCGAGAAGCGTTTGTGTCATTTTCGCCCGCGCAGAACCAAACAAATATTTTTACATCAGCTCATCATCCACCATTCAGCTTCAGCAGACCAACTATTGCAAACCGAATTTCGTTCCTCCTTTTTGTTCCGGGACCCGCAGTTTCACTGCTGAACGGTGCCTGCCAGGTGAGATATTCCAAAAAAGTTAGAGACTTGGAGGCTGCTGACGGAGAACGTTGGGTGGGCGAAGCGGTTATTTTCAGCGGGGCTGCTGAGCCAGGAAGTTCGGTCCTTCATCCAGCGGACGCGTAGGCAATTGTTGTTAGGCGGTCCAGCGAGCCACGGTGTCAAGCACAGCGGTTGACAACAAAACCATGGTTGAATCAGTTGGCAGCTAAACGTTTTTCACTTTTAGATGCGCATGTGAATTTCAACTTGTCAAAGCCTCGCGCTATGGCGGGCACCAAAATTTCAGACAGTACCCTTAGGAACCAGAGGCTGCTTCCCATATTGGCAGTTTATCCCCCTTTACATGATCAGGGAGCGGAATTTGGCAAACCATGCTCTGATCACGTCCCACCTCTAACTGCCGTTGACCGCAAGCCCTTGCCGAGCATCCTTTTTCCCACACGCGTAGCGAAAGGTTCTCATTTATCTTTGGGTGCCTTGGGGCGGACGTGCGTTCAAGGCTGCTTTGATGAGGGCAACCGTTCGCTCCCGCCACGACCTTTTGTACTGGGGACGAGGTGTTGACGTTTGCTGCAAAAGCTGTCTTTTCCACAGGTCTTGAAAGATGTGAAGTTGCGTTTTTGTGCGGCAGGCATCGCTCTTTGTGTCGCTTGACATGCGCGATATTTTTGACATGTTTTTCAAAAATCATTCCATTCTTCCTGGTGCTCATGTCCGCTTTCGTGGCAGGCTCGGTGCATTAGATGCGTGCTGCCTGCATGCTGTTTGTATTTAAAATGTCGTTGCTGCGTCAAGCGGTGACAAGGCGTACACGCCGTGGCGGGCGCAGTTTTTGGTCAAGCTCCGCTGCGCACGGCATGTCATTTTGCAAGGCTAGCGCAGTACTTGGCGCACTTGGGAGGGTCCTTTTGCGCTTGCCATAGTGACATGGCTGCGTTGCCGTTGGGTCGTTATTTTCTGGCTGCTTTGAAAATGTGAAATGTCCTTTTGTGTGGCAGGCACGGCGCTTGGTGACATTCAATGCATATGAGGTCCCGTCAAAACCTTTTCGGGTGACCGGTGCAATATGTTCATTTTTATGTTGCGTCGCAAGCGCAGCCTTCCAGAGATGCCCAAGTCCAGTTTTCGTGGCAGGCGCCGCGCTTTAGACGTGTGGTGCTGCATGATGTTTTTAAAGCACCATGAAACTGTTTCTGCGTCAAGCGGTGGCAAAGCACGAATGTCGTGACTGGCCCCGTGCATTGTGAGGGTGTCTTTTTTGTGGCAGGGGCAGTGTTTGGTGAGGCTACGTCCTGCATCGCATGTCATGCTTCGTGCCCTGCGCAATACTTGGCACACTGGCGCAGCTGCGCGAGACGCGATGTTGTGTCGTCTTCGGTGCAGCCGGCTCTATCCACTACATTTCAATCTTCTGCATTTTTTTCTTTCGCTTCCACATTCAACATTCCCCTTTTCATGCTTCTCGCTCCGCGCTTTACACGTTGCACTTTAAAGCTTTACATCGCCCGCCCACCGCGCCACACTTTAAGCTCCGCCTCCCACTTTCAACCCTGCCTCCACACTTTACACCCCGCGCTTCACATTCCAAACCCTACCTTCCCTGTTCTCTACCTCCGCGTTCTACAATCCACGCCCAACTTGCCACACTTCCCGCGCAACACTCCACCCTCCCCATTCCACACTTTTCACTCCACGCTCTACGTTCCACACGTCCCGCTTCACATTCCACATTTTGCACCCTGCGCTCACACTCGACACGCCACGCTTCGCGCCCACATTTTATACTTCGCGCTTTAGGCTCCACGCGCACGCCCCGCGCTCCCCACTCAGCACTCCGCGCTTTACGCTCTGCACTCCATCCTTGACGCTCTGCACTTCATTCTTCGCGCTCTGCACCCACCCCTGCTTCACGGTCCACAGCCTGCAATGGTATCGTAAGAGGGGAAGATTTCGCATGACGCTTGTAGTAAGTTTTTCTTTGAAAGGGTTGCACGCGAGCGCATTCGGGTTCCTGGGCTGGATCTAGTTTTAGCTGATTCATACTACCATGTGATCTGGACCCGCCCTGGCCCTTCACCCGGACAGGCGGAGCAGGAAGCGCACCAACAGACCATCACCGAACACAACGAAGTCATGGAGAAGCACCAGGTGCCTTCATTAACGGCTTATTGAGCCAGGGATTTTGCATGGGGAGTTGGCCAGCAGTTTCCGAGGGGGACATGTTGCCGACACGAGCAAAGCTTGAACCTTCAAAAGAGCAAGCATTTGAACGGGGCGCCAACCTTGGCTTTTGCGGCCCAGAAAGAAATACCCCAAGGATCCGTTTAGGCTATTAGGGAATAGTACATATCCTAGGTTATCATCAAAATAGGATAAACTATTTTTAGGCTATTCAGTGATATATGGCTTTCCCTTTGTGTGTTGGAAATGGCAAAATTTATGCCTTCATGTTGAAAGAAACATTGTGAAATATCATGAAAACACTTGTGATGCGCATTTCTGCAGATGGTACATTTCACGGTCGCGCTGTGCCATTACTTGTCCTGCAGCTGTTACATATCAAAATTTTCCGCTTCTATTTTTCAATTCCTGCAGAGGTTATATTTCATTTTGGGGGTTTCACATTTCCATTTCTGCTGATATTGTATTTCTATTTGTTATTTCTATTTACAATTCTTTTCAGTGTTTTGATAAAGCAGCGAGAATTCCTAGCTGAATTCCCACTTGCATCGGAACGGCAACACTGATGCATTTTCTTCATGAGTTAACACCCTTGGTAGCTGGACATCATAGGTCCGTTTGCACCTCCGGGCCGAGGAGTGCAAACTGCAGTTGACTAGGGGTTAACCATAAGTATAACCCGGAGATATGGGTGATGAGCCCTTCTGCAAGCTCAACACACATGGGTTAACTCCGAGGAACATATTTGTTCAGAGCGATATCGTTTTTGAAGAATCGAACTGTCAATAGAATTGATATTTTCCTTTTCTGAGAGTGAGATTTTTTCTGACTGTTTCATGTTTCCAACAGAGAATTTTCTCTTTTCTGTTTTCTGAGGGTGAGAGTTTCTGAGTGTTTCATGTTTCTCCCTGAGTATATGTTTCCTTTTTTTCATTTTCCTGAGGGTAAGAGTTTCTGAGCGTTTCATTTTTCCACCTGATTATATATCATTTTCATTTTCCTGAGGGTGGGAGTTTCTGAGTGTTTCATTTTTCCACCTGATAACGTGTCAGTTTCATTGTCCTGCTGGTGAGATTTAAATGGAATGTTTTATGTCTCCACCCATATATAATGTTGCATTTTCGTTTCCTGAGAGTGAGTTTTTGAGCGTCTCATGTTTCCATCGGAGGAGTCTTCACTTTCATTTTCCTGAGAGTGGGAGTTTCTGAGTGTTTCATGTTTCTTTGTGAGGCTTCATTTTCGTGAGGGTGTAAGTTGCCTCAAACTCTTGTTCCATTTGGAATTCCGAGAATATATTTTTTTGGATCGCATCCAATTGTTTTTTGGGGCAGGATTTCGGATCTTAGCGCAAGTAGAAAGAAATTAGACAGCCATGTATGCAGAATCAGGTGAGGCTGAAGCCTTGGCCAAAGCTGAGCAGACGGCAGCTGAGTTGGCCTATTTCTTAGACAGATTTTCGCGCCAGATGTTTGAAATTGAATTCCATTTCTTTGAATTGTTTTTGATTGATCGATTCTGCGAGCCAAGGCCACTCAAAAGTCTGATAGCGGAGAGGGCAAGGCCATTTGTTTCCATTTTCGTCCATGAAATGAGAACCCCATGATGGAATGATAACACCATGATCGAATAATGATATACCCATGATAACACAATGTATAGTAGCAGGTGATTGTACATTATAAGATATATATATATATATATTCATGTTTCATTTCGTTTTTCACGGCAAAAGAGTCAGATGAGGAGCCAGCAATGAGGAAACCTGTGAGCAAGAAGACTGCGAGCAAGAAAGCTCCTACTCCTAAGTCGCCGCGAAAGTTGCTGAAGCGCCCTGCTGCAGTTCTTGGGAAGTTAAAGAAAAGAAAAGAGAAGCAGACCAGAAAGGAGAACAGAAGACTGAAGACACTGAGGAGACAGAACCCAAGGGAAAAAACAGAAGAAAGACAATAAAGATAAAGACAAGACTGAGAACGACGGGCAGAAGCAAGCTAAGAAGAGCAAATGGGCCGAAAAGGCCAAGAACATACAGATCTCCCAGGAAAGTGAGGAAGAACAGGAAGCCAAGGAACCTGTGCAGAAGCAGACAGAGTTGAGAGACGAAAAGAAAGCCTACCTTTTCCGCAAAAAGATGCAAAAGTTGCCGGCTGAGGTGGTCTCACTCTTCGAGAGCTCTAAGGTAAGCAGAGCTGACAAAACAAAGCTTGTCAACGGCATGGTGGTTCGTCAACCGGATGGAAACTTGATGTTGGACCTGGAAGCCCCTGTCCTGTCCATGTTGCAGTCCCACTATACGGATATTTCAGGCCCCCACAAGGCCAAAGGATATCCAAAGAGTTTGACTGTGGCCAAGCTCGGTGGTGAGTTAGCTTTTACCCAAGCTTTGGAAAAAGGTGAGGTCAAGGAGACCGAACAGGGTGGCAGCACTTTTTACTTTTTCAATACCATCACGATCGAGAAGAAGGTTGGCGCAAGAGCCGAAACAAAGGGATCGGTGGCCAGGACCGCCGATGACGCGCAGGTTGGTGCCCTTTCTGCCTTTGTGGAAAGCTTCCAGCCTACTTTCCGTGCTTCGAACAGACGTGTGCATTTTTTATAATTTCTGGGACTTGGTGTTTTTTGTTTTCTATTTTCTCTTGATCAAGACGCTTCAAGCAATTCAATTTTCGACCATTTCATTCAACATTTTTTTAATTTGTCGGTATTGCAGGTGAGATTCCTGGTATGGCACCTTCGTCGAGTGCGGCAATGCCTCCACAGGGATTCAGTGCCATGCCTGCTATGCCATCTGCTTCACAGCCACTCGCCCTCGTGGACAAGGCGGTCCCAGTTCCCTCTGAGATCCAGTTGGATTTCTGTGGTGTTGTGACCTTGGAGGGTTGTGTGGTGGCAAAGATTGACGAGGGCCTGGGATGGTGGAAGAGCTTGCGTGAACAAGCTCGAAAGGTCGCTCAAGGGGCTTTGAGGAATCAGATGAGCAGCAGGATGGCAGAAGTGTGGAATCTTCAGGTGACGCTTGAGCAGTCCAAGACGTTTGGTGCAAAGGATGGTGCGAAGCTTCGCAGTACAATGTCGGAGTTTGCCAAAGGTCTGATGAATGTGCAGGAAATGGTGAGAGGCCTCCTAGGATTGGAAAAAGAGCAGCCGCTCTCTTGAAAGCTTTGGCTCAAGTGTCTTGGTTTACCTTCTAGCTAAATCAGTGGTACTCGCAGTTCAGCAGCTGCTAGACTTGCTCATGTCTCACATTCATCTTTCGAGGTATTCCCGTGCATTCCTTTTCATTTCAATTTTCCCTCCATTCGTATCCGGCAAATTCTTTCCATTGATTTTCAGCTTTCATTCTGATCAATCAATTCCTTCATTGCAGAACGTGGCTCACCAGCAAAGCGCTCAAACGGTTTTTTTCTTTCCTCTAGTTAGAGCGGAACCATGTCGAGTTCGGAAGCCTCAAGCTCCCCGGAAAGGATGCCAATGCCATCGGGTTTGCCGATGGGAGGGCTGCACGTCAAAATGGATCACAGCGGCTGCAGTGCGACCCAAGCCCCAGGGCATCCAGTTGATATGCAAGCTGCTTCGCCACTTCCGATGGCTGTTATGGGCCTCCTTGCCAAAAAGGACCGTGAGAAGTAAGAGGATGATGACCAGAAACCAGAGAAGAACAAGTCCAGTGGCTCAAGTGAGTTGCAGCCAGGCCCAGCTGCATCTTCCAGCACTGAGAATAAGAAGAAGCAGCCAAAGACTGATACCACTGGAGAGCAGCCGAAGGAAAAGGAGAAGAAGCAGAAGACTGACAAAAAGATGCAGAAACGCGGCAAGAAGTTTTGAGTTTTGCATCTCTAGCCATCGAAAGCTTTTCCAATTTAGAGTGGCAGAGAGTTTGCTAGCCTTGCTGACGCGATTCGCGCTTTTGAACATCCATCTGACCTGAGACGAAAGATGGAAAAAGGTTTTGCCTATGTTGGCTGCTTCAGTTGAGAATGTTTGTTCATTTCTTCAGAGTGTTGGACTAGGTCTTCATTCTCATATACTGCTTGTTGAAATCAACCTGAAGAAATTCCATCTAGATTGATTTCCATTTCTATTTTTTGTAAATTCTGCAAGATTTCCCGGATCATTTCTGAGAAATGCGGAGATTCACATGTCCATTTGTGGACATATCTGAAAGATCTACATTCCTTTGACTGAGAGTTTCTGAGAGCTCCGTTCCTGTGATCTTTCTGGAAGATTTAGATTGTCAGTGCAGAGAATTTCCGAAAGATTTCCATGTCCATTTCTATTGGTTTCTCAGAGATTTCCATTTCCATTCTGAGAGTTTTCCTTTCTGAGAGAGTTTTCCATTTTCGTTTCGTGTCTGAGAGATTTCCAGCAAGGGAGTCTTCCATGCCTAGACTTTACATCATAGGGTTATCCATCCGTTCATGACGATGTTTCTACCATGTGCGTGCATGTCTGAAAATGACAGTTTGTAGCATCTTCTGGGATATATTGTTCATTTTCAATGTTGGAGTAACCTGCCACCATTTCCAAGAATTTCAATCCAATTCGTTTTGGAATTTTTGTGACTATTGGATGGTTTTGTGACAACAAAATGACTGTATATGCGTGTCTCGCAACATTGGCCTGTGGTGTTGCTTTGAATGATTGATGTTTGGTTTGAAAGAAACATACATAGCGACATAACTACTAAATCCAAACCGACTTTTTGAACCACATATCTGTTAAAATCAAGTATATAGATTCATGATCATCTTCAAACCATAGTCTTACTAACTGAAAATCTAAACTTATGTTCGGCACTTGAACCCTCCAGAGCTACGCGCTAACACTTTCAATCAACATTTCACGTCGACCATTCAAAGAATCAGGTCAAAAGACTTCATGTGAAAGGAACAAATCACATGTCAGCTGGTCCAGAAATAGCCATGAGCGTACCTGTGGTAAAGATTAAGATGTTGTTTTCGATATACCTTTGTAAGACTTTGTTCAAATGTATTTTCGTCAGAAATGAAACCAAATAAGAATTATTGTTTGGTCTTATAAGTTTCCCCCCTTGCCGCATGTTAATAGGTTCTTGTTTTTCTTTGCACAACCAAGGTATGGGTCGGTGCCCAGGGATCCTCACTGGGGAAGTTCAAGGAGGTGCAAGAACTTCTGGTGGCCAACGGGATGCATTTGGAAGCACATGCCCGCGAGTATGACCGAGGCCAGTTCGGTCTCTTTAAGAGCTTTGGCTGCGGTCAAGCTTGGCGGGCATACGAGTTGTTGTTTTCCAGTGGCATTCAGATGGGCAAAAACGGTGCCCCACTCTGTGTTGCTTGAGTGTGCTTTTAATATTTCTCTTTTGTTTCCATTCAATTTTTTCTTCCTGAGAGTTTTCACTTTCCAAAGATTGTTTCACTGTTTTCTCAGAGAGAAGAGGCTCAAATTTTAAACTTGTTTTTCAAAATATGTTTCCAACATTTGCTTCCCAGGAGATGAAGCACATGAGCACCGCCCCGCAGCTGGCGCCGAAGCCGCCTTAGCCTCCCCCTACTTCCCCGCATCCAGATGGTGGTGGTGGTGGTGCTGTTCCTGAACCAGCAAATCCACCTAGAGCAGCTGTCCCAGCAGAACCTACGCCAATGACACCAGCTGTGGCAGCTGTGGCAGCAAAAACAACAGAACAGCAACCAGATGAAGGACCTGACAATAATGTTGGACAGGGGAACGCAGCTGATGGAGAGAGACCAGATGGTGCAGTGAAACAAGACGAAGCTGATGTGAAAACCGAGACCGTTACAGATGAGAAACCCGGTGACAGCAAAGGTCCCGAAGACGTGGACAATGTAGATGAGAAGACAGAGGACCAGCAGAAGCAAGAGGGCAAGGACACTGACCAGGAGATGGGAATTATGGCGCCAGGCGGAGGGCCTTTCAGAAGGGCTTCCCCGACACATAGTGTGAAAACGATCGATTTATTTCTGCAAGTTTCTGACCGTTTTTAAAACAGTGCTGCTGATTTTCATTTTCAAACAGCTGCGCTATTTTCCTTGACAGGCAGTTGTCTTCGCCGCCATCTCCCAGAAGATTGCTCAAGATGGCCAGTAGCAATATTGCTCTGCAGTTTCTGCACTGAAGACTGCTGGCAAGTGCATCGACAGGTTGGGTTTGATTGGAACAATGACGAAATGTTTGATCAAAATATATTTATTTTGTGGCTTTCCTGTGGGTGGCCGTCAAAGTTTTGTCAAAGTTTGATCAAACTTTGACAGTGACTAACTATCAAAGTTGCATCAAAGTTTGATCAAACTTTGCTTTAAGACTGTCAAAGTTTGATCAAAGTTTGATTTCCTGTCAAAACTTAATCAAACTTTGATGGTCCCACGTCAAACGTTTATCCAAGTTTGATGCTGAAGTTCAAAGTTTTATCAAACTTTCATGGTTTATATCAAACTTTGATACCAGTATCAAAGTTTGATCAAACTTTGATATGGTAAATCAAAGTTTCGTAAAATTTTGAAATTGGGCATCAAACTTTGATAAAACTTTGGCGTGGGACCTTCAAAGTTTGATAAAAGTTTGACATAGGAAATCAAACTTTGATCAAACTTTGACAGTCTTAAATCAAAGTTTGATCAAACTTTGATGAAGCTTTGATAGTCTTTGATCAAACTTTGACATAACTTTGACGGCCACCCCCAGGAAAACCACAAAATAAATATAAATTTGGATCCAAAAAGCCGAATTTTATTTAAGATTGATATGAAATCGTTTGGCCGCTGGGAACTTTGTGAAGGCATCAGAAATGCAAATGCAAATCTCTGAGAAACTCTCAGAAGTGAAATTTTCTGAAATAGAAAGGAAAGTCAACTCTCTGAAATGGAACTGAGAATCGAAACTCTCTGAAATGGAAAGGAAGGTCAACTCCCTGACCTGGAAATGAGAATCGAAACTCTCTGAAATGGAAAGGAAAGTCAACTCTCAGGTTTGTAAATGGGAATGATTCAAACACTCACTGACATGAAACTCTAAGAGGTGCAACTAACAGATATGGAAATGGACATGAAAATTCACATGAAAGTCTTTGAAATCAAACACATAGAAATTGAAATGTAGATCATTTAGAAAGTAGCAGAGATGAAATTGGAATTTCCTGAAACTCTCTGGAATTCCCTGAAAAAAACCATAAATTTTCCAATAAACTGCATCAACTTGACAAACCATTCTTCCAGAAACAATATGTTTTTGAACAGGAAACAAATATTTGATGATATAAAAATTGTAAAACAACCATTCGCTTACCCTGCCAGGTTGATCGGCACGTTGGACGATTGAGATCCTGAAGATGAACGAACCAACTTGCAAGAGATCTTCCGATCCACTTGGAAAAATGTGCTGCGGATTTCTTTGTTTCTCAAATCATGGTCCAATGCAAAAGTTTCGCCAATGTGGTTCACTTATCCCAATGGAACTTCACATGACGGTGTTGAATTGATTAAGCTGGTTGTGACAATATCTGACGCATCTTGGGTTTCAACAATGTGGATCTTAAGCAAAACAGTTCATCCAGAAGGACTTCCACGCTGCATTATCGTGTTGGAAATACATCCAAATTATTTGGGCCAAAAACCTAAATCAAATGAATAAAGCAATCAAATTTCAGACAACCTGAGTTTTGGGATGGTTTCATCTTGGGTTTCAACAATGTGGGTTCTGAAAAATTCTATTCCAAGTTTCTGAGAAATGTTCCTTGCCATTTCTGGTGTGAACTGAAAGATTTCCATTTCCATGTCGAAGAGCTTAGGACGGAGTATCATGTACATTTCTGATGGTTTATAGAATTTCCATTCCAAGTTTCTGACAGGTTTCCAGGTCTATTTCTATGATTTTTTCCGGTGTCTTCATTTGCATGTCTATAGATAGGGTTTTGAAGAGATTTCCGGTTTCCTTTTCAATTTTCTGAAGGGGTTTACTCAGATCATTTTATCAGAGACTTTTTCAGATAATTTTCTGAGAGAGTTTTCTCAGATATTTTTCTCAGGGAGTTTTCTCAGATAATTTCCTGAGAGGGTTTTCTCAGATACCTATCTCAGAGAGTTTTGTTTTCTCAAAGATGTCCTCTTGGATTTCAGTGAGGTTTCCATTTACGCTCCTGAGTATATCCAAGTGTCTTCTGG